CCAGTCCAGCTGGTTTTAGACACCCAAATGTGGATTTGGGTGCTGATTTGGGATTTTGGGAGGTGGAAAAAGGGGCTGCTTTTCCCTGCAGGTGCTGATCAAGAAGAGCTATGACCGCTCCAAGCGGCAGCGCCGCAGGAACTGGAAGCTGAAGGAGCTGGAAAGGGACAGGGAAGCCACGGACACAGATGATGAAAGGTTCAGTATCTGCTCTCCTTGTTCAGTGACAAAGCTGCTCCAGCAGCAGCAGCAGCTTCTAAATAACCTCCAGCTGAGTGGGAAAGAGGAGAAAATTAGAGATAAATGAGTTGGGAATTGATAGGTGAGGATAAAACAGCAAGAATGAGTTGGAAATGTAGGAATGCTCTCAGGTCTGATGGGGTTTGGGTTCTGTGATTTTACTTTGTTGTATGAATTTCCATAAATCCAAAGGAACAGTGAGTAAATACATCCCACATCTTTCACAGACAATACCAGGACTTCCTGGAAGATCTGGAGGAGGATGAGAACATACGGAAGAATGTCAACATTTACAGAAGTAAGGCCTTTTTAATTCCTCCATTGGGTGTAATTAAATCATTTTTAAATTGTGTTTGAGGCAAAATAATTTTACTGAAATTCTCTATTTTTCATGCTTCAAACCATTCATGCCTGGAAAAATGCTGCAGAGTATTTCACAGATGTGTTTCACCTGAGGGGTTTTGTTTCCTTGCCTTTAAAATGAAAAGGAACGTTCCTCCTGCACACAAAATTTCTGCTGGGGGAGGGATTTGATACAGAATTCATTTTCTTTTTCCATGAGAGGACTGTTGAGTTTTCAGGAGCATTTTTTGGTTTATTGGTTTTGTGGTTTGTTGATTGTTTTGACATTGTAGGTTTGATTTTTTCCCCTATTTTCCCTTGGGGTTGCTGTGGTGTTTTGGGGTTTGTTTTCTTTGCTTGACTGTTTTTTTTGGGGGGGGGTTTCTTTGTGTTTTTAGATGCAGATATTCCAGTGGAGAGTGACACAGATGATGATGGAGCTCCACGGATCAGCCTGGCTGAAATGCTGGAGGATCTCCACATTTCCCAGGACGCCACGGGAGGGGAGGGAGCAGAAATGCTGACAGAGTAAGGACAGAGCCTTACATGCAATAAATATTCCCCTGGAGAGGAAAAACTCCCCAGACCACAATTAACCATCACAAGAAAAGTGACAAAACTCCCACTGCACCCCAAAATAATGGCCTGGAATTCATATTTTATGGATGATATTCCAGAGGAATCAGCAATTTGAGTTCAATTTCTGGTGGAAGCATTGCAATATCAATTCCACAAATTCTTCCCATCCCTGAGGGATCTTTCCATGCAATTTCTGCAGTGGAGAAAATAAGGAAGGATGTCCAGAGGGAAAGACTTTATTCCAGTTTCCTGGATTTTAGGTGGAGTCCCTACCTACTGTTACAGCTTTAATTTCTCACATGGGGAAGGTTTTCCCCATTTTTTGGCGCAATGGTTTGAAGCCTTTTATGATACTGGTAGATTTTTTCATATATCCATATTTTGGGGAAGCTCAAGACTGTAATTTCTGTTCCCTCACACAAAGAAAACCTCCCTGGAAAGCCCTTGATGAGAAAGATTGGAAAATCCTGTGGAGTGTGATGAATATTGAACTGTATCTCATGTCTGGATGAGTGGATTAAAAGCAACATGCTCAGTAATTAATTAATAAATCAGCTATAAAGGATTTAAAAACCTCTCAGGCTATTTTGATTCATCATTTTTTAGTTCATTTTAAAATCCACTTGCACTCTGCAAGCCCAAGGAGGCCAGAATAATAAACTCCCTGTTGGTGGCATGTGATGGGGAAATAATAAAAACTGGGTTTAAACTGTGCTGTTTTCATCAATCCTTTTCCTCCTCCCTTTTTTCCTTCCTGGAGTCTCCCAGGAATGTTGGATATTTGCTGTGTTGTTTCATCCTGTTTATCCCTGGAGTTCTCCCTCTTCCTTTCCCTCCTTTCCTTGCTCTGTTGCCATGGATCTTCCAGCAGGAATTCTGTCTGGGAAGATCTTGTGCTGCTGAAGCCAGGAATCCAGGAATTCCTTGGCTTTGTGGGATTTCCTTGGCTGGAGCAGCTCCCCAGAACCAAAGCTGGGTCTCTTTGTAGGTTCTCAAGTTTCCAGTGCCCCTTTGGGAGCTCAGGGAGGTTTAAAGAGTGTCCAATAAATTGAATATTTGCCAGTGTTTTCACTGCTGCTGGAGTTAACAAAGGCAACATTAATTCTCATGGATAAAAGCTGCCACTTGCCCTGCACCTCTTCCTGAAAATCTCTGGGTTCAGCCACAAAAAGCTCCTTTTGTACAACAGAAATCATCCAGGATTTTAAGTCAGAGCTGCTCAACAATGCATTTCCACCCAGATGTTGATGAATTTTGAGTTGGAAGTCACAGGAGAAGCCATGCAAAACTTTGGAATCAAGTTTTGCTCAGAGAAAACAGTGAAAAAAGGAAGTGAAAAAAGAACAGTGAAAAAGTGAAAAAAAAACAATGAAAAAATAAATGTTGTATAAGTCAGACCTTAAAGCACAAAAGCTGGATAACTGGGGGTAAAAATGAACACAAAAATGGGATTTGGGTGTGAAAACACTCATTTTTGAATTTCTTTTCCTAGATAAAAGTCTTTTCTGTTGATGATTAAAAGCTTAAGGTGATGATTTCACCTTTCACTGCTTTAAAAATCTGTTAGTGGATTGGCTGATGGAGCTCCATGGTCCCAAATCTGGATCAGATGGAAATTGCTGAGGTGAAATATTTATGGGAAAACACTTGGAACCTCAGGCTGGGTGCCTGAGCTTGGTTGCACTCCAGAGACAGCTCCAAAAAGCAATTTTGGGAGCTTCCCCAAGCTGAGGAAGTGAGACACTCATCTGGTGAGGACTTCCAGCAAAAGCAGTGTTATTTCAGTCTCTTGGGAGTAGCTCAAAACAGGGAATTCCAGAGGAATGTCATGTCAGGAAGTTTTCTGTAAAAAGACCAGGGTACAGATTCCTTCTGTTGGATTTTTGGGGATTTGGAAGAATTCCACTGGATGCCAGTGGGAAAAGTCTGGCTCCATTTCCACCCTGGGACTGGCAGAGGTGGATCCAATTCCCTCTCTTCCCCATTCTGCTGCAGGAGCATCCATGGAAAAATCGGGATGTGCTGAACATGAGACTCCACCTGATGTCACTGTTCCTGCATGGCCCCAAGAGCTGTTCCCTGCTCCGAGGAAAAGGTGGCTAAAAACTCTGGGAAAACTCTTCATGCCAGTGCAGTTCTTAATATTTAAATTCAAAATAACTCCAAGATAAAGAAAAATAAGACCAAAACTGCTTTGGACTTGAAGGATTTCACATCAGCAAACTGCTCCTTCTGATTTATCTCAACTCTGGGCCATTTATTTCAGCTGCACTTCCCAGAGCAGGTAAAAGGAGTGCTGGGAATTGGAAATCCTGAGGGATTTGGGAATGTTCCTCAGCTCATTCCAGGACATAATCACGGAACAAAGAATCTTGTTGCTGTCAGAATCTGTATTTCCTCCTAAATACAAGATGGGAACCTGGTGAAACCAAGTCAGAAAGAGGAAATGAAGTTTAAAACTTGTCAAGGTTTCAGTTCCACGAGAAAATCAATGCCTGATGGTAAAGCAAGAAACTGAAGGGATTTTGTGCCATTTAAATATTCAGCTTCCTAAAATGCAATCATTTTGGATGACACAAATCCCCAACAAGGACTGAAAGCCAATTTTAAGCTCATCTCTGGACAGTGGATTTGTGAGATGGAAGGAAGCTCCTGAAGCTGGGAAATATTTGGTGTTTGCAAAACCTGCTGAGACTTTGTGCTCTAAGGATGGTGATTCACACCTTGATCCCTGGAAAAAAACACCTGGAAAAACATAAATCCAGTTTGATGTAATCTCTGTGCTCTATAGTGGAAATGTCAGCAGCAGAGGAAGGAGGAATTTCCTGTCTGAGGGAGACTGGAACTCAACTGTTGCATGAAGCGGTTTCAGCTGAGCAGGGAAGCGGAGCAGAAACTTTCAGCAGAGCAGGACGGAGGAATTTCAGGTCAGCTCTGGAAAAGCAAACAGATCTGCTGGAAACTCCCCCTGCTCTGACCAAAGCCCTGCAGGATGGAAATGTCCTGTGGGATGCAGGGGCCTGGAGGTGCTGACAGGTTCATTTTACAAGCAGGATTTTCAGGTCGGGTAATGAACAGCAAAGATAAGAACTGCAATTACACGTGGCTGTAAATAAAGCAAAGTGCAGCTGTTGTTGTGCAAAACAATGAGGTAACAGCGAGGAGTGAGAAATCATCTTGAGCTTCTAAAAACCCCTCAAGTGACCAGCAGCAGAGGGGGTAAAGTTCCACATGAACAGAATAATCTCCAGTGCTTTTAGGAAGTATAAACTCCTCGGATCAATAGGACAGATTAAAGTTTAATGGGAGATAAGGTGTGAAAGTGCTACAATAAAAATCACTCCTAATGGGAATGCTGGGAATCCACCAGGATGTTCTGGCTGGAAACATCAAAGGCTTCCTGGTGAGCAGCACAAGCAGTTTGATTTTAGCAGCTGGTTCTTATTTTGCTCTTTA